ATAATTAACCACTACAAAATATGCTAACAACTTCCACACAACAAAGTTTACCAACCACGTGGTGCACCTCCCACAACCTCAAATTTTTTGTTGAAAAGAGGAAAAATTACTCATTTCTTAATTATTATGATATTGTTATTCGCAAAAAAAAAAAAAATAGTTGGATTCATCTTATTGTGGGATTCTATCGTAACTCATGAATGACTAATGCGATAATTTCTGAGATAAACACTCTAAGAAGACAATGAGTCTAACTCATCTATTAAATGTTGTAATTTAGTGATATTTTCCTTATCTTACAAATTGAAAGATTGAAGATTTAAATTTTCATGAGAAAAAAGCAAGTAAATTACTTGTCAGGACAACAATTTTTTAAAAAAAAAAATTAAAGAAAAAGAAAAAAAACGAAAAAGTTTCAAAGTTTGTAAGGCATATGGACTTTCCAGGCCCACTACCTTTCAGTAACATACTCAATTATTGACATATTTATTTATCTATTGAATTTCAATATATTATTTGCATAGGGTAAGGTTACATATCAAGTAATCTAATGTCTTCAGACAGCTACTCATAAAGATTCTCTTGCCAGATTTTTGTTGTGAAACCTAGCAATGTTTTTGTAGTGATCCAATAATTCAATAAACATATATATATATATACACACACACACACTTAAAAGTTCTATCCAACCAACCAATTGTACTGTACTTTCAGTAAATTTTTCAATAAGACATATATTTTGTAGTTCAAAATATTTCACCCACATTATCACATAGTAGTACCATTTCCCCACATGTTTATAATTCATATATTGATCAATGTACTTTTTCTTTTTCTTTTTTTGTATGTATGCATGTATGTACAAGTTTTGGGCTTTTAGCAAGGTGTGGGATCCTCTCCAATGCACGAATGTTCTGTTGCATTTTAAAATGGAACGATGCAATATTTACGTAACATCGATGTATGCACTGGCACAATACATTTATTTTGAGTATGTAACATATTACATTGAATTACAACTTAAAAATATAACACATTTCTATATCTTTAATTTAATGTTATTGCGTGGTACTACATTCTCTATTTAATGTTATTTAATACCTGAATTTCAATATATAATGTGCATAGGGTAAGGTTACATATCAAGTAATCTTAATGTCTTCAGACAACTCATATTCTCTTGCCTGATTTTTGTTGTGAAAGCTAGCATTGTTTTTGTATTGATCCAATAATTCAATAAACATATATATATATTCACTTAAAGTCCTATCCAACCAACCAATTGAACTGTAGTTTTAGTAAATTTCTCAACAAGACATATATTTTGTAGTTCAAAATATTGCACCCACATTATCACATAGTAACCATGTCCCAACATGTTTATAATTCATTATATTCATTTTATTTTTATCTTTATTTTTATTTTTATATGCATGCATGTACAAATTTTGGACTTTTAGCAAGGTGTGGGATACTCTCCAATGCACGAATGTTCCAATGCATTGTGAAATGAAACAATACAATATTTATGCAACACTGCTGCATCAAAAATGTACACATTTTTATATCTTTGATTTAATGTTACGATGTGTAATACATTCTCAATTTAATTACATTAAATAGATGACATTGGACCAAAACTAAGTTTTTCCGCATTTAATGGGATTGGAAAAACAAACACCATTCAAATTGAAGAGGCAAGGGAGTGGTTGGGGCAATCAAAGGTGTTTGTTGTTAATGTTACCAAACATGTCCCATCTTCCCCTATGTTCACAACAATAGTTGGTGGTGGGAGAGTATGACCTAAATTTAGTAGCCTCAGGGGGTGAGGCTCCCACTTATGTACTCAGAGAATTTATTTTATTTTATTTTTTAATATTTTCTTAAAAACGAAATCATTGGATCCTTTAAACTTATGGATGCAAGGTAAACATCAAATGCAATCACCCACAAGCCACACATATCATTTAAATTTGAATGTTTTTGTACCTAGTGAGAATCGAACTCAAAATCCGAATTTACGACTCGCCCTTTGAAATCCCTTAATCATTGATAGATAGTGTGAAACCTTATAGATATTGTATACCAAAGTCCAACTCTATCGATTCAACTTTTTGTGAAAGATATTTTGGTAATTTTTACACTTATGATATTGCCTTAGTATAATGATATTTATTCATTCTAAACTCTATGTTATTATGTTTTTATCATTATAATGAAATTCCTCCACCACCTAGACTACGTGGTCTTAATTTCGTGACAATGGCTTGGGCCACCTTTGCGAGAATAAATTTTGCTAGTGGAGAAGGCTGACCAAAATCTACAACTGCTGTACATGATATAAATGGATTCAGATTGGCTAAGTCAATTATAGTTAAACTGGAATATATATATATAGTTAAACCCTTTGTAAGCCTAGTACTTTACATAAAAAGAAATTATTGAATATTTAATTTCATCACATGGAATTTCCGTACATGAATTGAATGAGCATTATAATAAAAGAGAGACAAGTAACAAAGGAGCAATGTCAATGAGTTGAATATATACATATATATATGGGGTCCATAATAATAATTAATTTTTTCTGTAAAAAAAGCCCATATAATTATTTTAGATTTCAGCTTTTATTGTGGAGTTGGTTTCAAAGTTTTCAAACCTCGTGCTATAAATAATGGTCAATACATGACTCACCAAACCGCTCACGAGAAAAGGGAATGCATGAATTATCCCCATTTGAATGCCAACCACTTTTCCGGCCACCATCTGCAAAAGGAAATGATATATATATATATATATATATATATATATATATATATATATATAAAATTATGCGTGTGTCATGATTCACAATCGCAGAATTATTTTTAGTCGCAGCGTAACAGACTCGAACGAATATGTATAAATCCAACTTTTAAAAAAGAATTACGAATTGGCCACCAACGATTGATAACAAGTTATTTTAAAATTGATTATTTGTTTTTCTTAGAGGTGTTTCAAAAATGTCTACAATCGAGTAAATAGCTCTACGAATTAAAAGATCGGATTGACTTGCCAAATGAAAAAATTTGTACAAGCTATAAGTTTCGTCACCACTTTGTGAAAAATCATTGAGTATGAATATGTTAAAAACCTGTGACTTCATCGGTGAAATAGTATTTCTTCCCTCAAAAGCATGTTTTTTTTTACTGACTCACAACGAAAATATTTTGTAACGAATATTTTGTTACGAATGACAAGATATTAAGGAATTATGCATAAGTAAAATCATAATTATGAATAAGGGCATTTTCCGTGTCATAGATTATTCAAGAATGGAAGTCCATTTACTTTATAAAAGATATCTATAAACTTATATGAAATGATTTCAGGGGATTCAAATATATAAAAGATATGCTTTAAGCTTCGCGAAGACTAGTATGCATGTTTGATTTTCTTGCCACCATGATGCTGGAAAATTCCATTGGGGACCCAATGCTTTGACTGTCTCTCAAATTCTATGTTGTTGATAAGAGTATCAATGCATCATCTCAAGATAGTACATCAACTTTATAAAAGTTAGTCCCATTTGACATTCAAGAAATGCTACAAAATCATTCCGATATTTTCTTGCTGTTAGTAAAGTAAAATATTGAGAATTTAAGTTTTAAAAAACGTAAAATAAAAATAAAAATTAATATATGAACATATCACAAAATATTTTTTGTATTGTTCTTTTGAAAACTTTAATATCTATGAAATTATGAATAATTTAAAGGAATTCAAATCTAGTAGCTTTCATTTTAATTAAACTTTTCAATATGTGGTCACAATGAAATTGTGTTATGTATCAAAGAAAAAAAGTGTAAACACGTGAGATCTAATGTAAAAGCGAGACTTTCATGGCACTGAAGTTATTACAATGTTTAGTTATAGGCATGGTTTGTAGTTGCGAGCGCAATATAACGATTCAATTCAATATCGGTATAAATCAATTAGTTCATGAATATATGTATCGGTATCAAATTTTTGAAAAAAAATTATAAACTGGCCGACAAATTTGTGGGAATCAATTGCTAACTCAGCCAGCTGCTTATCTTATTTTTCTAAATAAATACTATGTGGCGCATTTGACTATTTTGACTTGAAAGTGAAAGATCACTAAAAACACTACGAAGATCTCGACTGTTCAGAGGATAGTGTATCATCTATATATATATGTATACATCAACTTTATAAAAGGTTATTGTGACATTTCAAGATGACTTGGGTCGAACTTGCTAGTATTTATAAGGAGAATGTTTCTTACCTAATTAGACGTATTTTGCAAATTATTAGTATAAAAAATATGGAAAGTTGTTGATCTTTAATGAAAAAAATGAAGAGAGCCTTCACAACTTTTAAAGAGTAGTTAATTTTTCAAGACGGGTCATTGTGGCGTCTCACATCGCACAGATCTCCTATCTTTGTGAATGCGTTTTAAAAATTATGAATACGAAAAATATGCAAAGTAACAAAAAACGTCTGTTAATTTTTATATATATTTTTTCTTTTAATTAGTAGTTCTAAAAAAATATTATTCTTAAAGAAACTAAACCAAACACCCCCAAACTCTCCGCTCATTTCTTTCCAAATCCCCCAATTTAAAAGAACAGTCAAAACTCAAAACACTGTTTAAATAGTTTGACTATTTTTCAATTTCTTCCTAATCCTCTCATTTCTCAAACAAACAAACAAGGTTTCTAGAGGGTAAAAATCACCTTTAATAAAATAGTGTGTCATTTCTTTCGTTTTGAAATGAGTAATCCTGAAATAATTAGAATGCATCGAAAAAAATATTAAGATGCACTTTCAGTCACAAAAATAGAAGAAATGAACCATTGTACAGATGTAGAAAATCCTTGTCCGGTTTCTAGAATCTCTCATTTTCCCTCTCTTTTCTTTCCAATTCTCTCACTCCAAACAGGCTGCCAGATGTGAAAATAGGGTTTTATTAATTAATAATGCCTAGTAGGAGTCACTAGCTATACTCTCTCTCCCCCTCCCCCCATGTTTCTCTCTCTGACACAGTGTACCTAATCCACCAGTTCCCCTATTTGTTCCCTTTATTTCTTTTTTTCTCCTTCTCTCCATTTTTCTGCAAATTTGTTTTCATCCCAAACAACACTTTACCCCAAAATCATTCTTGTTTTCTTAGTGACACAGATCTAAATTCTTTGACTGCAAACCTAAGCTCCAAAGCTCACATACACACACACTATATGTATGTGTGTGTGTATAATGCTCGCGTATCCGGAGAAATTTCCAAAACCTTGATGCGATGGAGTAGCTAACTTTAGCTGAACAGGGTTTTCAGTTTCGGATCTGCAAATCTTCATGGAGTGAATTTGTGGGAAAATGCGGTTAGAACATCATGGTCTGAGTCCGGTGATTTCTTCCCCATTGACCCATTTGGAATTCCGGAGTTTCAAGCTTAGAAAGAGCTTATATGGCAAAGCCTGAGCTCAGAATTCAGAGATAAACATCATATCTGACCGGAATGTTTCAAGGTTTTCTTCTTTACCTTATAAATTTCATAGCTAAATAATGTACTGATATATATATATATATATATAAAGTTCTTGTTGAGTTTTGATTCAAACGCAAGTGGGTAGTGACAGATTTGAGTAAAACATTGATAGAAAAATTAGACATTGTCAATTGGTATCAAGAAATTATCTGTAGATGCAACTCTCTGGGAATGTATGGTGTTTTTTTTTTTTGTTCATGGTTCGTATGTCAAACTTTGTGTTGAGACTAGTGCTTGTTTGGCTGTGTGATTATGTGAAACTTTGTAATTAGATGTTAATTTTAGCAAAAGTGTGTGTGAAGATCATTTGGGTCTGAATGAGTTAGGTTGTTTGTTGTTTAAATAATCTATATTTAGTATTTGATTCAATTTGTAGTTCTCAATAGTTTCTTTTGCATAAAGCAACAAAGTTGTTTAACCACTCCAACTAATCCAAATCTTAAGTGCATTTTCAGGAAGGAATTTGCTGAACTCTCTCTCTCTCTCTGTCTCTCTCTCTCTCACACACATGGAAGAGGTTAGGCAATTAGTAAGGAATTGACTTTTCAACTCCTATCATAGTGAACTTAGGATTTGGATTATTGCAAGTTGAATGCATTCCTCTCATTTAGTTTCTGCATAAATGTGTTGATCTTGTCGAAATTCTGGATGACATGTTAGCCATCCTGGTCTAACCAACATGAATTCTGGCATAACCCTAAAATTCACTGGTGAGTCTCTGTCTCCAATATCTTTTCACCCACATTATCAAAACATAAAGTAGTTGTTTTTAGCAGTTAGCTTAAAATTGCACTTAAAGCATTTTAGTGAGCAAAAACATGTATCTCTTCATTCATCACGTTTTCCCATTTCTTATAAGAATATTTTTCCCCGCATTATGTTTACTTTCCTGGGCCTCTGAGTTAGTATAATGGCAAGCAGCCTTTATTCTTTTTCCTTTTTTTAGTGAAGAAGGTGATAAAAATAAAATAAAATAAAAATCATTCCTTGGCCTTTTTTGTTCTAAGATGCCTTATCCTCTTGCTTTTGGATATTGATTAATTTATTTTAGACATGATATGAATTGCTTTTGAGGTGGGATAGTTGAGAAATTGCCCTATAAAAAGTACTTATAAAAAGATGTCACTAACTCTGTTGTTCGGATACTTCAATTTTTTCAGCCTTGCTCTGCTAATACACAGAAATGAAACTATTTCCCTTGTTTTGGGTGTCCTTGGACATGAAAGCATGTATATAGCCTTTGTCAAGGAGTTTAACATTCCTATAGTCATAATTATTAATGTTTTCTTCCTCTTAATACAAATTTATTGCTTTGTATCTGCAAAATGATGGTGCTGCATTGTTATAGAACAAGAAGCTGAAGTCCTATTGGCAGGTGTATATATGATGATGTAATTTGTAAAAGTCGTTGCAGGTGTTTCTCTTGACTGTTACACATTGGCAAGTAAATAATTATAGGTCTTTACTTTTGGTTTGACTGTTACATATCACACGCGAGTCATACTGTACAATATTTAGGTTTTCAATGACGAAGTAAAAAGAGTCAAACCTGATAATATGAAATATTGACATACAGATTAGCATAAGAGACCGAAAGAAACAGTTCCTATTTTCAGTTTTTTGGCAAATTGAAAACCAGCTGTGAATTTCTTTCAACTTTTTACATACTTTGAAGTTATAGTTCTCCTTGAAGAGCTAAAAGATGATGTTTCTTCCTAATTTTTCTGCTGATGGCGAAGTGTCCTATGGTATGGTTTATGAATGGACATATTGATGAAGTACACTCTACATAAGAGGTCCTATGAAATATTTCTGCTTTCGGTTCTTTTTAAATACTCTGGACTAGTGCATGGACAAAACGTTGTTGCTTTCCTTTTCAAGTTGTGAATTATATGGTAATTGTTGGAACAATTCATTCTTGTGAGGGAATATGTTGCCTTTATATTCTCATTATTTTTTAGCTACATTCGTTATTTAATTCTGCTATTTTATTTTATCATCTTTTCTGAACCAGGAAACCAGCAAGACCCGTATCACTTCTACTTTCATTTGCCTCATATTGAGCAACTCCCCATGAAACTCTGCTCTAGTTTTCCATTGCTTCCTTCCATTTTTGTCATTATCACTCTTCTTCCTCTAGCTCTTGCTGATCTGTATTCAGATAAACAAGCCCTTCTGGCTTTTGCTAATGCTGTGCCCCATGGTCGGAAAGTCAACTGGAGCCCTGGTACCCCAATTTGCACATCTTGGGTAGGCATCAAATGCAATCCAAATGGTACCCGTGTGCTTGAACTTCGACTTCCTGGCGTTGGACTCACAGGTCCCATCCCTTCCGACAGTCTTGGAAAATTAGATGCGTTGAGTGTTCTCAGCCTTCGATCCAATCTCCTCAACGGAACTCTTCCTTCTGATATCACTTCCCTTCCATCGCTACACTACCTCTTCCTCCAGCATAATAACTTCTCTGGTGATGTTCCGGCCTCCTATTCTTCCCAACTCAATGTTCTGGATCTCTCATTCAATAGCTTCACAGGCAACATTCCACTAACAATCCAGAATTTGACGCAACTCACTGGATTGAATCTTCAGAACAACTCCCTTTCTGGACCCATTCCCAATTTCACCTTCCCAAGGCTCAAGCGTTTGAATTTAAGCTACAACCATCTTAATGGTTCTATCCCATCTTCCCTCCAAAATTTCCCCAACTCTTCATTTGTAGGGAATTCTTTATTATGTGGACCACCACTTAGTGCCTGCTTTCTCCCTCCACCTTCCCCTTCACCCAATTTCTTTCCACCCCCACCAAAAGTGCCTCAAAAACCGAGCTCCGGAAAGAAACTCACAAGAGCAGCTATTATTGCCATTGCAGTTGGAGGGGCTGCAGTGCTATTTATTTTGGCTCTAATCATATTCTTCTGTTGTTTGAAGAGGAAGAATAGAGAGGGCAGCAGTGTGTTGAAAGGAAAGGCTACCGGTGGTGGGAGGAGTGATAAACCAGAGGAGTTTGGGAGTGGGGTGCAAGAGCCTGAGAAGAACAAGCTAGTATTCTTTGAAGGCTGTTCGTATAATTTTGATCTTGAAGATTTGTTAAGGGCTTCAGCTGAGGTCCTAGGAAAGGGTAGTTATGGGACTGCATACAAGGCTGTCTTGGAGGAGGCTACAACGGTGGTGGTAAAACGGTTGAAAGAAGTAGGAGCAGGGAAGAAGGATTTTGATCAACAGATGGAGATTATAGGTCGAGTTGGACAACATCCCAATGTTGTGCCACTCCGCGCTTACTATTACTCTAAGGATGAGAAGCTCCTAGTTTATGATTATATCCCCAATGGCAGCTTGTCGGCAGTCTTGCATGGTATGCATACCCTTCTCATTTTTCTCCTTTAAAAAAAAAAATTTAATAAATAAATAGAAACAGTTTATAGAAGTTACCTTCTCACTTGTCAGTCGAGCATAATAATGAATTTTAAATGTTCATAAAACCCAAAACTCTTTGACACTCACTCACATGCAAACATCAAAGAGAAATTTACTTGATGAACACAAATTCAGTCATGTTGAATTGACTATTCTGATCGTAGACTACTCTGAATCGAATGCAATTACAGGAAACAGGAGTACAGGAAGAACTTCGCTAGACTGGGACTCCAGAATTAAGATCTCCCTTGGAGCTGCAAGAGGCATTGCCCATATACATTCTGTTGGTGGTGGGAAATTTACTCATGGCAACATCAGGTCCTCAAATGTGCTTCTCAACCAAGATCAAGATGGATGTGTCTCCGATTTTGGCCTGGCACCTCTTATGAACTTCCCTACTGCTCCAACTCGTTATCCAGGATACCGTGCTCCTGAGGTGATAGAAACCAAAAAGCAAACTCATAAATCAGATGTATACAGCTTTGGTGTCCTCCTACTTGAGATGTTAACTGGAAAACAACCACAACAATCACCAGGGCGTGATGAAATGGTTGATCTTCCTAGGTGGGTCCAGTCAGTTGTGAGGGAGGAATGGACAGCTGAAGTTTTTGATGTTGAGTTGATGAGGTTCCAGAACATTGAAGAAGAGATGGTGCAGATGCTGCAAATTGCCATGGCGTGTGTGGTAAGAGTTCCAGACATGAGGCCCAACATGGACGAAGTTGTTCGAATGATTGAAGAAATCCGGCAATCTGACTCGGAGAACCGGGCATCTTCAGAAGAGAACAAATCCTAGGACTCGAATGTGCAGACTCCATAATTGCATTGAATTCATTGCTCTCTGATTTCAAGCTTCCATCTATCATTTCTCAGAATTCATCTGATTCAGAAACGCAAGATTGTCTCCCAAACCATACACTGCCTAATTAGGTATCCCCAAGGAGAATCAAATCTTATGTGCATGTAAGGTGTCAAAGTGTGAATCTATCCAATTCCTATGTTTTTTCTTTAGTTATGTAGGTTCATTTTGCTCTCTTCAGGAAGGGTTTTTTTTTTTTTTTTTCATGATTTGTTCTAAGAAAGTTATTTCAAAACCAACACCATTTGATTGATGATCTTTGTATTCTTTAATTAAAAAGAGGGTTGTCTCCAGTTTTTTCTTTCACTCACCTTGTGTAGTTGGAATTCGGAAACCGTGTTAAGTTTGTGTACGTCTGTGTTAAGTTTGTGTACATCTGACCCTCCACCCCCCGCAATTGCAGAAGTATCATGCATTGAGTTGACCTATGTTACAGAAGCTGCTGTTGTTACAGGAGATGTGGCAAAGTTGAAACCAAATATTAAAAGAGAACCAAATAATTTATGGTGGGGACTTAAAAAGGAACCTACACTAGCCCAATTGCTTCAATAAAGTTTTTTTCTCAAATATTTAGATTCGGTTACGTGAAATCAGTTTTATCATTCTGCTCAACATAAATTCTGATTTATCATTATGCAATTAGATCTATGTGATGCTACGGCGATGCATTGATCAGTGCAGTTGAATTGATTGATAAAATCAGTTATATATATATATATATATATATTCAAGCACTAATCATGAATCAATTTAAGCTCAACTTGGATGAACTCGAATCAAGCTTAATTTGACGTATACTATAATTTTCAAGTTTATGAAAAAATCTTGAATTTTGTGATATGAATAGGCCCCCACCACCCAAAGTTCAATCTCTTCTGGTCCATTAAAAATTAAAATGTCCCACAATTTAGATAACAAAATTGTCGGGGCACAAATTTTATTTTTAAAGAACTAAAAGTTCTGAAATCGTACAAATTTGTTTGCTTAAATAAACTTTTTAAAAACTATTATATTAAAACTGGTTTTAAAAATATCTATTTTTAGATATTTGTCTATTATAATTCTTTAAAAATTATTTTTTGAGTGATCTTTATGATCAGTAATTTTAACTTCAGAGTAACAAGGCACGGACCCCATGTGTGTGCCGAGTGGGGGCAATTGCTGCATTGAAATTTTTTTTTTATAGTATTATACCCTAATATTTTTAGAGTTTATATATATATATATATATATATATATTATACATATACAATAATATTATTAACCACCTTTATGCTTATGGGTCAGTCCCCGAAAGCGACTTCAAAATATTCGAATTTTTTTAAGTCATCGAACCTTAATTTTTCTTGAGGCACTTATACACTTAGCCCAGTGGGTGAAAATTTAAATTTCCCTCAATATTTTTTAAATTTCTTTATTTATTTATTTATTTTTCTTAAACTTATATGACTCGTTTGAATGGCTAAAATTTCAAAAAGGCATGATAACACAATTTTCAAAACAATTTTTATAAATTTTTTTTGAGACAACCAAGAAATAAAAATAGCATCTTTCCTATCATGTTTTTAATCGTATAAGAAGAGTGTTGAATATTTCCAAAAACAAAATTATATTATAGAAGTAAACAAACTAGAAATTTTCTATTTTGGTATTTAGTAGTAGTTTTTAATAAGTAGGGTTTTTTTATTATTATTTTTTTTCTGAATTTGTAAAGATAGTTGAATTTGAACTTGATTTTTGTTTATTCCTAAACGAACATAACTTTCATTCTCATATTTCCGGTTAAAGCTATAAAAAAAATTATATTCGACCTATCAACTCTTTTAAAAATAAGAAGATCCAAACCCGGTTCAGACTCCAAATAGAGTAGTAATCCGTGGGCAACGTATAAAGGCGGTGGCGTTGATTGTACGCCAATAATGACTTCCACGAAAGTTCTTGAAACAGTAGGTCAAGTCAGTCTTCCAAATCCAAATCAAACTTAAAAAAAAAAAAAAAAAAAAAAAAAAAAAAAAAAATACTAGCATATATAGGGCTTCACAGACACAAAAAGAAAAGTAAAAAATACTAGCATATATAGGGTTTCACAGGGATTGGCTCTGCGCCTAATTTCTCTCGCTCTGGAATCTTGGTCCGATCGCCCAATTCAATAAATCGCTTTCAAATCCCTCTCTCCCTCTTAAGGTCTCCTCTCTTTGTCTCTATATATTTGTGTATATGTGGTTTGGATGAATTCTAGTTTTTCGATGGGTGAAGAATTGATCAGATCTTGACTTTTGTGGTGTAATTATTGAGTTTTTGTATATTTGGCTAACGATCTAAGAATGATATAGGTTTAGTACTTATGGCGTCAAAACGGATCTTGAAGGAGCTCAAGGATTTGCAGAAGGATCCTCCTACATCATGCAGTGCCGGTATGCTGTTTGTACCCTTACTATTATTATGGATTCATACACATATTGTTATGTATGTGTGTCCATATATCATGTACATATATTTTTTAATGTTTATGGTGAATCCTTGCAAGTACTTCAATTTTTGGCTAAAAATTGGTTACCTGTTGGTGCTGGTTCAACATAGTTCCTATTCCTTGCATATTGTTTGGATTAACATAGTTCCTATTCCTTGCATATTGTTAGGAAGTAAAGCGATTTTTTCTTCAAGTTCGTGTTCCTTTTTAAGGATATTAAACAGATAGGTGGAGAACGTTTGGATAACATCCATTGAATATTCATTGATAAATTGCAGTTTATGATTATTACTCTTGTAAAAGGACCCAACAAGAAAACTGATTACTGGGATTTAGTACTATGACTAGTTAGGCTGGAGTAAATAATCTAGATCTAAATTATGACTAGTTATGCTCAAGGGAGTAAATAATTTAGATCTAAATTAAGATGCTATATGAAAAAACTGAATAGTTGAATTTTAAATCTTAAAGTTGATGGTTGAATTTGTGAGATTTTATTTCTTTTTGAGGGTAAATTTTTCAAGTTTAAAAAGACTTTTATCTGGTAAGTGAACTTCTCTTCACTTAAAATTTTGACTCTTGTAAGTGGAAGTTTTTTTTAAAGTTACACTAAAATTGTATTATCAGAACACTTGATTGGAAAGACGATAATGGAAATTGTTTGTGGTGTGGAAACCTTTTTTTTTTTTTTTTTCTTTTCTGTTATACTGTCTCCTCGATTGGTGAACCGTGGATCATGCTGCTAACCAGATACCAATAACCCCATGTGGTGCATTGTAGGGAATATCCACTCCCATTGTATCTTTTTTAATATTTTCTCACCATGTTTAATATTTTACTGCTTGGGAATCATGATTGGTGTACTCAGACCAAAGTTTTTTATTTTTATTTTTTTTCCTTGTAGTTACTTGGACCAAAGTTCCTCAAACATAACCCCTCAAATTGAGGTCATTAGAACTAACTACTGAAAAAATTTACGTCCGAGTTATTGGGAATCATGATTTGTGTACACAGCGTGTCATGCTTTTTGCTAGTTGCATATGAATTATCATTGCGTGTGTTTTTGGTGGTGTTGTGGTGGGTTGGGGGAATGCAACATGAGATGTCGTCGGTGGAATTGTTGTTTATCATTATTATTCTTTTTTCATGAAATCTGATTACCGTTTCCTCTGCTACCCTGCTTATTGTTCTGTTATCTTCCTCTAAACTTGTATGAATGCTTAATTCATTTTTACAGGTCCTGTGGCTGAAGATATGTTCCACTGGCAAGCAACAATCATGGGCCCTACTGATAGTCCATATTCTGGAGGCGTATTTCTAGTTTCTATTCATTTTCCTCCTGATTATCCATTTAAGCCCCCTAAGGTATATTTTCCTTTCTGCTTGTTGGAGTCAAAATCTTATATAATTTGCATTAGTTCTCTATTATGACATTGTCTTCTCTAAAATTGGAGTTTTTCCATTAATTGCACCATCGTTTATATAGTTACATTAGAATGTCTATTTTATTCTTTTATTAAGGGAAAAAATTCCATTGTCTTACCATTAGTTTAGGAGCAACATAATTGGTTGTCATTGTCTTAATGAAGAATAAGCAATAGATAACATGCAAATAAGACTATTGATCTATCAAAAAAAATTTGTTTGCTGCTTTTTGACACTTTTATTTGATAGATATGTTTTGGGGGAAAGGGTATTCAATGTCATATTTCTAGAAGCCTTTGTCTAATAGTATTGAAGCAGAAACAAAAAGGTTGTAACTGTGATGTCAGAAAGACATTTATGATTGAGAATGCTAAAGAGAAACTTCGAGAAGCTAAGCATGAGAATGTGGGTTTGAATTTTGGGAGTAGCATTTTGTGCAATTGCTGCCAAAGGTTAGGTTTGATCACCCTCGTTTAACCATGTCAACACTAAGCGTTGGCTCTATATCATTCGATTCATTCGTATGGTTGCATGTAATGATGGATTGAAAAGAGGATGAGACAAAATTTAGTAGGTTGGCAAAAACTTAAATTACTAGGTAGGGCTTTTGGAGGTGAGGCAATCAACATGATGTGAGATATGCATGTAAGGGTAGGCTCAGTAGGCAGATGCATTGAGACCGAGAAAAGGGGGGAGGGAGTTGGATATATGGTGTTAATATGCTATCTGCATATTATTCTTGAGGGATGGAGGAAGAAAATATTATGGATTATCTGCTTTATCTCAAACCCCCCTACCCCTCCCTCGCCCAAAGAAAAACACCAAATAATATATAATACTTATTAAATAAATAGGATGATGAAAAGAAAGATTGAGTAAATAAATTATATTCTTCCGAGTGCGGTAATTTTCTTTTTATGCGTGTTTGGATGAATAGACTGAAAATGGAAACTTTACAGAAATGTTTCATAGTATCATGCCCATTACTGCGTGCATGTCTTATATCTAATTCTAGTGTAACATGTTCAAGTGCTGGTGCCCAACTTTTGGTTTGTTAAGTTCCGAAGTAGCCGATTCTTGTATGTTCTTGTAGCTTTTTTATCATCTTGTTCATTGCTTTGGAGATTTGAAAGGCTGACCTTGTGAATTGTACAGGTCGCATTTAGGACTAAGGTCTTCCACCCAAACATTAACAGTAATGGAAGCATCTGTCTTGACATTCTGAAAGAACAATGGAGCCCGGCATTAACCATATCTAAGGTTTGTCTCTTTATATCGCTGTTTCTGAAGTTCAGATCCCTTTTGTGCATGTTTTGTATTTGAAATTACATGAACTCTGAGATTTGTGTGATTGTAGTACGTAGGTTGAACCAACTGCACACATGAAATTTGAGATGTGGTACATCATACTGCTCATGTTATGAAATTTTGAATAATATTTTAGTGCAGGCACATGCCAGTCGTCACCTTATGGTCAATACTTTTTCCATAACACTGTTCTTACCACTTGCATGAGAGATTTATTTTGATAAATTACTTACATTAGGATTTATAAAAATAAGAATAAAGCACATTTGCTCTTGTTCCTGCTATCATCAGGACTTAAAATTTGAAATATCCCTGGTCTTTGGATTTTGCCAAACTCTAAGCCTTGTTAAACATTGGTTTTTACTTCTAAGCTGAGGTGTTCTTGTTTGTGTCTGTCAGTGTGTTCAGGACTGAATTGAGATCCTGGGTTTTACTTCGAGATGGGGCTCCTTGTTTTTTGTCTCTTTCGATACCCTAAGAACACAACTGTGAAGTAACTTTTTAAGTTTTAGTCAAAAAGATGGTGTCTACAAAACTTGGAGGGAGAGTTGTTAGTTGCTAGTCTTGGAATTGAAAGAAGAACTGAGAAAGGAAAAAGGAGAATGGGATGGTATTGGAACAAGAAAAAAAAAAAAAAAAAAAAAAAAGAAGAAAAAACACTAAAATAAGTTTCACTGCCATTACTACTCCCCCAACCTGACATTACGCCACATCTTACTAGAAGTCAGTTCTGCGACCACTTTAGTCGACAACTAGTACAATTTTACCCTCTCTTTTATCAGGAGCAGTGGAATGCCCCCAGCACCCAAAAATTACTGCTGCTGCAACTATTAGTAGCAGCACCACCATCACATTAACCCCCATTGACATCATGCCACCTTTGTTTACAAATACAGATATACTACCATCTGTTGTCTCTGGTGACACCACCTCTAGCAGCTCACACTAATTTAAAACTGTGTCCGACATACACAACCATTCTAGTACTATTTACTGCTAAAGATTATGTGTGTGTTGAAGTAACCTCAAATATTGACTTGTTTGCTTTTGATGGATTTCTTAAGACATTATTTATTTTTAAAAATTGTGTTTGATATTTGTAAGTCTGTAAATCCGAGAGGAGATGTTGCTTTTACTGGTTGTTAAAGCTAAATGAGCTCCATGTGTCAGGTGTTGCTGTCTATCTGTTCCCTTTTGACGGACCCCAACCCAGATGATCCGCTCGTGCCAGAAATCGCTCATATGTACAAGACCGACAAGGCCAAATATGAAGGCACCGCCCGCAGCTGGACACAGAAGTATGCCATGGGATGATTGCAGAAAAAATCCCTCTGGCAGTTTCTGAAGAAAAAAGAAATCCTCGAGTGAGAATAAAATTTGTTGAAAGAACAAATTTGTCAAGTAACCTAATTTATTTTCTAGTATATTTCTTTTTTCTTCTTCCAAACTTAAGCTTGCAAGGAAGGAATACCTTAATTTGTGAATATTAATTTTTAGTCACCAGAAGGGAAAAGATGTGTTGTCTAATGATGCTTTTTTATTTATTTTATTTGTTCCCCTTCTTTTCAAGTGAATGGTGAATCAGTCTATTCTATAAGTATTCCTTCATAACCAAGGCTGGCAATGTGGGCGTGAGTAGTGTGCGCGCGTTTCTTGTCAATTCTATGTTTTTTTTGTGTGATGTATGTATCTTATTAAAAGTAGGGTGTATTTGTTTATGATCGAAAGGGATATTCTATCGATAAAATGAGAGAAAATCAGTTAATTAGGAAAAATACGTGGTGGTGGTGGTGGTTATACACATTCTCATCAGAAGCCAAAGGTGTTCTATTCGTAACATTTTGAATCACAAATTTTCTTTGTGCTATGCTTGCACGCAATTCACTGCTTAAGAAAGAGCCATGATCTATCTATTTCACGCAGTCTCTCTCTCCACACGCACCAAAATTCTCTCACACACTAACATTGGTTGCTCTGGAATTGGGAATGGGATAGGCCCAACAACATTTTCATTTACACGAATTGGTAACTCTCAACAGCGATCGATGCTCGGATTAACGCCCACTCATGATGTCTGATATTTTTGGGTTTGATTGGATACAAAGATATTCCATATGTCGTTAGATCTAGTGAATGTGTAGGGTCTCCATGTGTACGACATTAGCATGTTTTTTTTTTCCGGAAATTTACTAGAGTTTGGATGGTTGTGTTGTCAGAATCAAATAAAAAAATTAAGAAAAATGTCTCTCGCTAATTTAACAATCGACGTTTTTTTTATTATTCGACTTTTGGTTGCATTAATTATTGTACAAGAGGTTTTTTACAAGCTGTAGAGGCCTTCGAGTATGATAAAGCTCTTACATGCTTGGACCAATTAAGCCAATCACTCAACATTATGGGTGGTTTAATTTGATCACACTTTCAAGTGGATCTGTCTTAATCGGTGACATGATGTAGCTTATGAATTTACGTAAAAAAAATTTTTTTTAATGAAGAATTAATCACGATGATATACAGTTTCAACTTTCCAATGGTTTGTGAATTCTGAATGCGTGTAATTTAGAATGACTTTAATGACTTATGAAGTAGGTTTACAAAGTCAGCCCTAATAACAATGATTTTTTACTTATTTATTTTCTATTATTGTACTACAAATATTATTATTACCTTAGATGTGTAAACAATTACAGTACTTGTACTTGGTTATTAATATTAATATGATTTTTGTTCAAATAATATATCTCTTTAATGAAAGATTGGGGTGGGTTGGGTTTTTAATATGGAAATGAATGTTGTGTGGCCTTGATTTACCTACTTTGAGAATATAAAATAAAAACAAAAAAAAAATATCGCTTGGTTGACAAGCAATGAGTCTAATCCAGCTTTGGAAAAATACTAATTGCTCACGTGGTGTCTCTCTTTAACTTTGCTGCTTCTTCAAGACAACAACCAACTCTCTCTTACTTTTCAACCTTTTAATTAATTGCCCTTTTTTTCCTCCAAATTATTGGACCTATACTATATATATATATAGAGAGAGAGAGAGAGAGAGAGAGAAATACACACCCAATTGTCTATGTGCGAACTTCCCTCACCGTACAATTTGTGAAAAATTATTTATTATAACCGTTGCAACAATGACTTGATGCAACATCGCTTATAAATATTTTACCAAAGCACATATATTAGTATTTTTCTTCTATCTTAGGTTTATTTTATTTTGATAAAGTATTTATACTCATTTATTGCACCATGTTATCGTTCGGCACCAAAACACTGACATCCGTTGGAACTTGGATCATGAATGTAGTGGTGAGTCTCACCACATATAAGGGCTGGGATTACCAGGGGTACCATATCCCAGGGTATTCCTTCGGGAGATACCACTAGGCTAGTTTACAATTCTTGGTATAATTAATATTTTTAATCGTACAATAATTATGAATCTGAGTTCTTTTGAATATAAAAAATAGAAAAATTAAATAAAATTTATTTAACTGACTTCAAATAATTGGAGGAAAAAAAAACCACTCTAATGAGTTAACTTGACTAACAAATTAATAGGAGTGAGGGCTTGAAATGGCTTCTGCTTTTAGTGGGCTCAGTTGCCAAAAATATCAATGTGGTTATCAAGAACATGGCATTCAAAATCAAGTCATTGTTAGAAGAATATTAGGTTGACAGTGACTTTGATGGGTAAATTGTAGTTGTAGATCTGCCAGAATTTGAAACCTTTTTATGTGGAATTTCAATTCTAACATGTTTGCAAGCCTAATTCTTCCTCCCTTCTATTTGATTGGAGTAGAAATTGATTTTTTATTTTTTATTTTTTTATTTTTTTTTTTTTAACATAGACAGGAAAAACACTTATTAGGTATTCTTTTTTGCCCACACTAACAGTGGAGGTTTGTAATATTAATGGAGAATAAAATTGAGAATTTTCAAAGGGTTGTCATTGCCCCGGTATCATACTTTCGGGATATTTAATACTTTCTCTAAATGCTCGGGTCATTCCAACCCTTGAATGTTGTGGGGCCTACCATCACATCTACGATTCAAAGACCGCTATTACTCCTCGGATATTTAATACCTTCTCAACATAGGAGTCTCTTCTTGGCTGAGTGGGCAAATCTTGTATAGAGTGAAAGGAAATGATTATAAATTATCCATTAAGAATTCCCTCATCTCCTCTATAAAAAAGGAGAGGTTATACCATTGGACAAATAGTTCATATATTCTGTTAAATATAAAAGAGAAAAATTATATATTGTATTGGTGTGTTGATATATAGTGGTTTATATAGGTGACCATGGTGTGTTGATATATAGCGGTTTATATATGTGACCAAATGTGTGGAAAGTAAAAAACGTAAACCTATATGGTAAACCTATACATGGTTAGAATATATTATACAATATAGTAATAATATATTCTAACCGTCCCCTCAAAATCAAGATGGATTGAATAAACTACCTTGAGTTTGGAAATAATTAAGATCTTGAAAGCGACACTGTTGACTGTGTTTGATATTGCTACGATATGCACTACTGCTGGCACAACTGTTAATGTGTCTTGAAGGCTAATTGGGTGGCCAAATAACGTTTTTGCTGATTATGAACTTGAGACTAAAGGTTGAGTGTGGAAGTAGAAGTTTGAAGGTTGATCGTCGAAGGTTGATCGGTGCCGCCGAGGATTGACGCCGAGGATGTGCTAATGGTATTAATGTGTTAAATAAAGAAAAAAACTGTGTATTGTATTAATGTGTTTGAGATATAAGATACACAAGAATTTATATAGGTGACAAGACGTGTAGAAAGTAAAAAACTTAAATCATATATGATAAACTTATTCATAATTAGAATATGTGAGAATATATTCTATAATATAATAATAATATATTCTATAACATATTCTAATATATTCAAAGACCTCTCCGTATCCAACTTGGTTCTCAAAAATGAGTCAAATTCCAATAAATATAACTTTTGATTAACATGATCCATTTGAGAATAATTCGAATAAAATCCAGTGCATTATGCTTTTTGTACGGTAGTGAAGAGAACTGTTCTCAACCCTCTAAAATGTTTCAATCCACGTGGTTATATGCTTGCAGATACAGTAAAGTGAAATGACCAAATAAAGCAAAACAACACACCAAAAAGAATTCCATCTTTGGGAGAAATTATTCCTTTTTTGTTTTTATTCTATCTTTTTTTTTTTTTTTTTTTTTTTAATATTTACTATAGTTCAATCCTTATCCAAATGGCAAGTTGCCACTTGAACTAGACACACCATGAAAACATAATCTGTGTCATATACATCATTCATAAATAAATGGAATTGTACCATATATATATATAGTAACTTATAATTTTTATTTTTGTAAAAACATGAAAATTGTTATGTGACAATTTTATCTAATTTTCTTCGATCTTAATTTCAAAACACTGATTTCATTTTATCAAAAATAGTATAAAAATAATTAAATCAAATTTAAGTTAAAAAAACACGGTTTGCTTAAAATTTAATTAGACTGATTATTTCAGTAAAAATCAATCAAACCTTTATCAACTTTAGACTGTTTTTGTTTTTTTTAATTTACAAATAGGTAAAGATTATGAAAATTCAAAAGAACCCGATTTTTATTATATGTTAAATAAAAAATGACTTTTCCACAAATTCTCTTATTTTTTGATAATTTAACTTTCTTAAAAGCAACCAAAATTACATTGCTGGAAACTAGGAATGCATTGTGAATTGAGATGTTAACCCAAAATATAAAATCTTATGTTGCATTTGGTGTGTAAGAACGGAATAGAATGCAATTGGAAATAGAATGAGAATGGATTCTCATTCTATTGTTTGATTATAAATATGAGATGTATATGAATGAAATAATAATAATCATTTATATTGTTTGGTTGGACCAATTTAAAATTTAGAAGAAAATATATTTCAAATTGAGTTTTTCAAAATATCCATCTTAGTAATAAATAAATTAAATTAACAAAATTAATTTCTTTTATAATTTTAAAAAAATAAATGGTGGTAGTGGTGGCGGTGACGGAAGGTGGTGGCGATGGTGGAAATTGGTTAAAGGTGGTGACAATGGTGGAAGGTGGTGGCGGTGGCAGTGATGGAAGGTGGTGGCAGTGGAGGTGGTGGTGGAATGTGATATCGGATGGAATGCGGTGGCAATGGTGGTGGAAGGCGGTGGCGATGAAAGGCGGTGACCGTGGTAGTGGTGAAAGGCGGTGGTGTAAAGTGGTGGGGGTGGAGAAAGGCGGTGGTGGTGGCAGTGGTGGAAGGTAGCGGTGGAGAAAGGCAATGGCGACGCTGGTGGTGAAAGGTGGTTGCGGCAAATAGAAGGCAGTGTTGCTGGTGAAAGACAGTGGTGGTGGACGGTGGTGAAAGTCAGTGGCGGCTGTGGCGGTGGTGGTGGAGGAAAGCGGTGGACGATAATAAAAGTCGGTGGCAGTGGTGACAGTGGTGGTAGTGGAAAGCGGTGGTGGTGGAGGTGAAGGGCAAAGGTGATTGTGGTGGAAGATAATGGTGATTTTTGGACTTAGAAAATGAGGGTTTTTTGAAAAGTTGAGTTTTTTAAAAAAAATTACTTAGGAATGGAATGGTCATTTCATACGTTTAGTTGTCAATGAAATAGTCATTCTCACTTTAAATTACATATCAAATAAATAAATGATTGAAATAGACATTCTATTTCATTATATTCATGAATACCAAACGCAATATTAAATTGTAAGATTAACTTAACCCAACCTTCACCTAGAGGCTAAAACTTTCATTCAGGCGCAACTCATGTCCCACGTTTTTTTTAACTAGGGTTGAAAATTTTGTTGATCTCATGTTCACCTTAGAATAGGTTGCTCATACAAATTTTAAAAAATAATACTAAAACAATCTGAAAGTTGAATACAAACTATTCTTATATATTTATTTATTTATTTATTTATTGTACTCACGATTATTTCCTTTCCTTCCACCTTGGAAGGAAATGAGTTTTTTTTTTAAAAAATGATATCTTGTCCTTTAGACATCAGTATTGCTCTAAAAAGTATAGTCATGATAATAAAATTACGAAAACTCCTTCCATCCCTTCTTTCCTTCGAATAAAACTTCAATTAAATGGACGGATTACGAAAAACTCTTTACATTCCCCTTTTTCCTAATAAAACTTCAATTAAATGGACCGGGTGAGAATGGTCTTTGACATGTAACGATGGTCGTAAATATTATCTAATAGCTTAAAAAAAATTTGTCGTATTATAAAGTACTAGGCTCTTGAATAGTGACAAATGATATTAGAACAGGTTGATCTAATCTATAATAAACTCTTTATATATATATACACACACACACACTTAATAAACTCTCATGAAAGTGTCAGAATCGTTACCGAGTCCCCCATAGGTGGACTAATGGCAACAAAAACGTTACGAGTTTGATTATAGGAGAATGTACACGTTATTAATGGATCCGGATAGAATGAATCTTGAGCATATAAAATTGAGTGTGTGAGTCGGATCGTGCAGCATTCGGGCCGTGACACAAAATTCTTTTCCATTTATAAGGATAGTTTTTGAAATATTTTCTTATTCTAATTATGTCAACGTCATTATTGAATCCGAATGAAGAATCTTCAAAATATAAAATTGAGTACTAAATTCACATAATAATTAGAAATTTTAAGTCGAAGCATTCGGCTCATAACAAAAAAGATCCCTTCCATTTTGTAACGATAGTTTCTGCAGTCTCTTCTAATTCTAGTGCTTTCCTTTTCCTTCAAACTTTAACCATTATTTCCTTCCAATTTTTGTAGCCACCTCTTTTGTTTTTGTTTTTGTTTTTTATTTTCTGTATTTTAACAAATTAGAATGTACAGTTTGGTAAATAAAGAAATCAAAGCACGAACCTTCCAAAAAGAACCCTCAGACACGTCATCGAAACCAGCTCCAATGTAGGGCCCACTCCTGTCGTCCCACTCGATCATGAGATAGTGGCATAGTGGCCAGAAACTGCAATACCCTCTCTCCTCTCCTCACTTGTTAAACCCCGTGCACTATAAATGTACCACTTACTGCCATTCTCCCCCAACCCCATCCTCTTAACTCTCTCTCTCCTCTCTTTCTCTCTCTATACATACACACATATACATATATGCTGCACGGAGCTTCATAACACAGAAGTGCGATTCCCGCCAAAAAAATAAAAGCTCATATTTATAATTAATTATATACATACATACATACATATACATATCCCCAGAAGAAGTTCCTGAAATTTCTTTCATTTCGCTTCTCTATCTTCTTTTCTCTCTCTAAAATCATCTTTTCTAAGCTTGGATCTGATTATATCTTGCTTTAATCCTTCAAATTAACATCAGATTATGTGTTGAATATGGATGGAAACTCCATGTTGACGACAAACAGTGTTATCGGCATGAACTCCGAGATGAAGTTCTCCGAGCATGTTGTCACGACGAGCAAGATCGTCCACGACCGGTTATTGATAACCTCCGGCGAGTTCCCGACGAGTTTCCGGCGGAAAGTAGTGAGGATCACCGTCACCGACGGCGACGCCACCGACTCGTCCAGCGAGGACGACGAAGAAGTTGTGCGGAGAGTGAAGCGACACGTGAAAGAGATCAACTTCAATCTCTCGCCAAAGTCACCGAAGCAAGACCAGAGTAAGAAGCGAAGGTGGGTTTCGCCGGAAACTGACGACGCTCGCCGGAAGAAGTTCAGAGGCGTGCGTCAGAGGCCGTGGGGGCGCTGGGCGGCGGAGATCCGAGACCCGACCTGCCGGAAACGGGTGTGGCTCGGGACTTACGACACGCCCGAAGAAGCCGCCACAGTGTACGACAAAGCCGCCGTTAGGTTGAAGGGTCCTGACGCCGTTACGAACTTCCCAATCCCCACCAAGGTCGCTATAACGGAAACGGCCGTTGTCTGCGAAACGGACAGAGAAGGGCTGCGAAACGACACCGCCTTGTCGCCGACGTCAGTCCTCCGCTTCGACGACGACGACTTAACGCCGTTTGATAGTCTGAGTTACGGCGACGTAGACGCTTTTGGTTTCGACATCGACATGCCGTTACGTCTGCCGGATATCGAGCTGTCGGAGAAATACTACGGCGACGAGGACTTGGGCGAGTTTGACCTCAACGATTTCCTCGTTGAAGTGTTATGATGCGTGACGTGGCACAAAATATAAGTAGTAGTTTACATTTCTGAGTGTTATATAATCGTGAGTCAGCCGATAGTATACGGCGATTTTGTGGCGTTTAGGATTTTTGTAGTACTAGTAATTATTTTATTGTTAAATATTTGTATAATTTCTTTAAATTATGTAGTGAATATTAAAGGACCAAAGTGCCACTCGATGTTTAGTGGAGAGAGAGAGAGTGAGAGTGTGTGTGTTTAAGTTGATCCCTTTAATGTCACGCCAAGTTCGGAACGCAAAGATATTTGTGTCAGAAAATTCATGAATTTATTATTAGTGGTTTTCTTTTATATTAAAGTCAGTCTGAATTTAATATACATATCTCAATAGAATGGTTGAGGAGACATTCAAGGTCGCATTTTTTTTTTTTTTTCTTTTTTTAGTAAATATAATTAATAATACGTCTGGACAAATTCAGGTTACGAGACTTATCACGGGATTTACAACAAGAAGGTGTAAATTTATTTCAAAGTTGTTTTGTTCCGTAATTTCAAATCAAAAGAAAAAAAATATATATCCTACAAATTAAAGAATGATGAATTCACATAGTTGGATAATCAACCAGATCACTTAATAATATGATAAAAATTATTTCATAATTTTAATTTTAATCAAAATCCATGTCTCACATAGTACAACATCTCTATATATTGTATAATAATAATAAATGAAAATTTGTGTGTGCGTGTGTTTTATGGTTTGTAAGAGGTGCATTTTTATGAATCTTCCAATAAAGTGTCACACCCCTCGTTGTCGGTTAGTGGAGAGGGGACCTATTCAACGGTAATGTGGTCACGTGTTTGAAAACAAGGCCGATTCTAGTAGCAGCAGCAGCATAGGATTATGTCTTGCACATTGAAGCTGGCCTGTCACTTATTGTGGGCCCCACAAATTCAAGTCTAAATTGGCCGATCAACTACAATTACGGACTGACTTTTCTCACTACCTTCAAACCTTCGTTGTCTTAGCAACACTCAAACCAACAATTTTTGCCGCCAGGCAAGCTAGCACTAATATTACTAACGTTTGGTATGTAAGAATAAAATGAAATATAAGTAAGAATGAAATGAGAATGAAAATAGAATGGAATGGTCATTCTTGTTTTATTATTTGGTTGTAAATATGAAATGTATAAGAATAGAATGATAATAACCATTCTAGTATTTGGTTGAACCAATTTAAAATTTAGAATGGAATAAATTTCTAATTGAATTCTCCAAAATATCCCTCTTAATAACAAATAAATTAAATTAAATTAAATTAACAAACGATATTCTCTAATAATTTTTTAAAAATAAATAGTGACAGTGGCGGTGGTGGATGGTAGTGTAGGTGGTGGTGTTGGAAGGCGGCGGTTGTGGCAATGGTGGAAATTGGTGGTAACAGTGGTGATGGAAGGTGGCAGTGGTGTTGGTGGAAGACATTGGCAGTAGTGTGGTGGTTGTGGTGGAAGGAGATAGTGGTGTAATTATAGTGGTGGTGGAAGGCTGTGGTGGAAGGTGGTGGTGGCGGTGGTGGAAGGTGGTGGCGGAATGTGGTCGGCGATGGCGAAAAGTGGTGGCGGCGAAGGTGAAAGGTGGTGGTGGAAGGTGGCTGTGGCGGTGGTAGCAGTGGCGGTGGTAGCAGTGGCGGTGGTGGAAGGTGGTGGTGGTGGAAGGCGATGGCGGCAACGTTGGTGGTTGTTGAAAGCAGTGGCAGGTGGCGGTGGTGGTGAAAGGTGGCGGTGGCGGCGGCGGTGGTGTAGGGTTATGGCGTGGCGGTGGTGGAAGGTGGTGGTGGTAGTGAAAGGCGGTAGCAGTGGTGGTGGTGGCAGTGGTGAAAGGCGGTGGCGGCAGTTGTGGTGGAAGGTGGTGAAAGGCAATGGAATGGTGGTGGTGGAAGATGGTGGCGGTAGAGGTGGTGAAAGGCGGTGGCGGTGGTTGCGACAAACGGTGACGGTAGCGGTGGTGAAAGGTGGTGGTGGTGGTGGTAGAAAGTGGTGGGCGATGGCGAAAGTCGGTGGTGTTGGAAGGTAGTGGTAGTGGTAGTGGTAGTGGTGGTGTGGTGAAAGGCGAAGATGATTGTGGTGGAAGGTAATGGTGGTTTTTAGACTTGGAATATGAGGGTGTTTTGGGAAGTCGATTTTTTAAAATAAATTACTTGATAATGGAATGACCATTCCATAGGTTTAGTTGTGGAATGAATTTTCATTCCCAGAAATGAATTTTCATTCTAATGGAATGGCCATTCCAACTTTAAGTAGCATACCAAACAAAGAAATGATTGGAATGGGCATTCCATTCCTGCATATCAAACGTAGCATAACATCTTTCATACCATGATACCACTAATACTTTCTTCTTCTTTTTTTTATCGAATCCTCAGTCAACAATAGAAAAAATAAAAAATATATTTTTTATTTTATATAGTGTCAATATGTTTCGTGAATAACAATCATATTGATTTAGTATTTTTACATGTTTCACCGTTATAGTAATGAATAATATAGTGATGAACATTTCTAACCATTGGAGTAATTTTTTTATTTCATATTTGTTTAAAAACTCTTAAATAACATTTCTAACCATTATATTTTTCAAATTTACAACACTTTTTTACCAAACATGTTTTCATATTTTTGCTTTCAAATATCTAGTAACAAATGGACATTACCAAATATACTTTCGATTACTATTCAAAATAATGATGCCATTGATATTCTCTCCCTATATATATATATATATATATATATATCGGATCACAACATAGTCACAGAGACGCTTGATGAAGTTGACCTCATTTCTACAATCTCTTATCTAGAAGTGTTTAATGGACACGTAGCAAAGCTCATTGACCTGTGTACAAACTTGTTAACATTTTTTTACCAAACACATTTTCATATTTTTGTTTTAAAAATTCTTGTAACAAATGGACGTTACCAAATATGCTTCCGATTACTATTCAAAATAATATACAAAGAAAGACTTAGTTTTGTTTTGGGTTAAAACAAAAAAGCAAAAGTAAAATGCGCATCAAACCGACCTAATGTCAAAATGATACATATTGAATTTAAATTCTAAATATAAGGAAGAAAAAATTAAGATTTTTTTTTTAATATATTTGAAATTTTAAAAAATAACACATGTTATCTTGTCATGGTGGCACATTAGTAGTGTATAAGTGTTTCCCTCACGCATATGGTTTCATAATTGTGAGAACTTACTCATTGCAATCGTAACCATTGTAGCGATGATGTACTGTAACGGACGGATACAAACATTTCAAAAAAGCAAAGTGGACATATAATAGAACCAAAAAAACTAATATATGTGTTTTGGTAAAGTGTTTGTAGCCGTACGTTGTAGTACGTCATCGTTGCAATGAATAATTTCTCATTAATTGTCATGGTAGCAGTGAGGATTCCATACAGTGCTATGTCGTTCGACTGCCCGTTTGATGAGGTAGAACACTTGTACTGGACTGGAGATAATTCTCTCCAACAAATTTTTTTTGACATTTGTAAGAAACACACTCAAACATCTTTTATACACACTTTTTATCTAAACCCGAACTCGAACTCCTTCCCTCCTCTTTAAGTACGGGGAGATTATATCATTGAGCTAGATACTATTTGTTCTATACCTAATTCAATTTAGTTCACATTGGATCCCATTATAAAACCAACAAGAAACCTCCCTCGAATGGAAATCAATTTCTATAATTTTTTTCAACCTCAAAATAGTGAAAACAATGTATTTAGAAAAGGAAACGAAACATTCCTGAACCTTTCAAGAAAATGGCAACTCAATTACTCTCAACGTCACCAAAAACTCTTACTATTTCTAATTTCCTTTGACATGGTCCTCCAAATAATTAGGTATTTTTTGTCTTTATCTTTTAAACCACTTCTCTTAAATTAATCTTCAATATAATATTATTATTATTTTTACTATAGAGATGTAGCATAGGTCTAATCGAAATTCAAACAACAATGAATTTTTTATATGAAAAATTGATTTGATTTAGACAGAAGAACATTCATACCAAAGTAAAAAGAGTCGGACTACGAAATTTCGCGGCACGGCAGTGGCCAATTGAAAACGTAAGAGCTTACCTCTCTAGGTCACGTTTATGACGGTGGGAATAGACAAGGCGTACTAAAAAAAATTGGAACACCGCAACACAAGTCACCCGCTGTCCGCAAAATGCAAACCAAAATTAGGGTGAGGAAAAATTTGAACACGAATATGGATGGATTAAGGAAATTGTGTAAAGGGTAATAGTATAATTTTTTAGTAATTTTATATGTATATATATATCAAAATGAATAAAATAGTAAGATATATTACTTAAAAAAAAAAAAAAAAAAAATCAGCGGGGGCAATTGCCCGCACAGACTTGTTTTAGTAAATCTGTATAATTATTTAAGGAGTTAGACGCTCTATCAATTAGGTCGCTAAATAATATTTTACGTTTTGAAAATCCCAAACCTTCATACACCGTATTTTGATTAACAAAAAATAATAATAGTAACCCTACGTTTCTTTTTACATTATTTCACCACTACTACTTCGTCCCCCAATAAAGTAAAATTGGAGCGTATGAGGATTTATGAGTAGTCCTACTGCCACCACTTTTTGATAATATTCATACAATAATGATGTAACACAATTATTTCATATTGCAATATTAGAATACTATTAAATTAAAAATTCACGACATTAACGTACTTTGTAATTAATATTAAAAATTATTTATGTTGTCGATTTAAATGCTCACGATGGAACACGACCTAATCTTCTATCTCTAGCTTGTTTAGCTTTAGAACTAGGTTTTGTGCAATGAATTGGATTCCTAGAGTTGGTAATAAGGTAGGCTGCTCATGAAGTGAGCAAAAGTTCGGAACTTAGATTGGATATCAAATATATTTTTGTTTTGACCGTATTGAACAATACGTGATCTTTTGTCAAATTCGCTATGATATTTGTATAAGTCAATTTATATTAATATTGTCTGAGTACGTTATACATAATATATATATATATATATAAAAAAGTCAAAGAGGGAAAAAATGGAATGGTTAAAAAGGGAGGGATTTTGGTGGGTCCTACGGTTGGTGACCTAACAGATACGATACGAAAGTAACAAGAGCCCAATTTTGTTGGTCATCACCGTCCCATACGCAATAGCCGCCCTCCACCATCATCAATATTAATAATCCCATTTGTCAATGTATTGTAGGGACACACTCATCACCATTA